CGAACCCAGGGCCTCATGCATGCAAGGCAAGCGCTCTACCACTGAGCCACCTTCCCAGCCCCAGTCTGTGAGATTCTTATCTCCAATAAACCACTAGAAAACCGGAAGTGGCACTGTGGTTCAAAGCAGTAGAGCGCTCGCCTTGAACTGAAGAGCGCAGGGACAGCGCCCAAGCCCAGAGTTCAAGCCCCACGACTGACCAAAAAAAAAAAAAAGACTGATCTCAGGTGACTGTGTGGGTTCGGGTTATAGGTGAGGCCACAGAGCCCAGATGTTAGATTTTGCAGAGTCATTAAAATCTATTTCTAACCTTTGCCTTCCAGGTGATTGAAAACTTGGCCTTAGACAACGTCACTAGTTACGGTAAGCCCTTCTCTGCTTCTGCTATGTAGTTAGTGGAAGCACTAGGGGGATGTGGGTGAAGAGAACACAGGGCATCAGGGACCCTGGCCCAAGTGAATGAGTTGTCTCCTTCCTTCTGCTCCAGCACAGTGGCCCCGGCTCATTAGACTGGGCCGTGGGAGTGGCAAAGCAGAGCAGAGTAGCCCCACCCAGGGCAAGGGCCATTGTGCGCAGCCTAGGGATGCTGAGGGAACTGGGAGAGGGAGCCTTCTGCCTTTTGAAAGGCAGTCATGGCCAGTGAGTGTGTCTGTTCCCTCAGACTGGCAAAGGACATGGTAGGGCAATTTCCAAGTGCTCTGTCTCTAGGTGTTCTCTCTTGCTGAGGGGCTGGGCTCCCTGGGAGCCAGGGCCCAGTCAGGTCCAGCAGATGGCGCTTCGCTGGCTCCTTCACGGTGACTGCAGGCCCATCCCCCGCCACCCTTACGGCACTAACATGCACCTCTTGTCTTTCAGATTCAATGTGTTCAACAGAAGCCATCCCCAACCCAGCTTAAATTATCAACCTAGAGAATAACTCTGTTCAAACTGCGTGGTGCTTCTTTTAGTAAATACTGTACAGATTTTACCATGGAGAATTTTTTTTTTAGTTTTTTTTTTTTTTAGTTTTTTTTTTAGTTTTTACCTTTTCTTAATTGCCCTTATTCCAAAAGGATGAACACTTTCTACAACTGCTGACCATTGTAAAATACCGTGTATATAAATCACATTGAAATAATGCCCTGGAATAGAACATCTCAAATGCTGCTTAATTACAGACTCAGGTTGATTACTTGTATTTCATGTAATGTTCCTCCACGTTAGACATCTGGTGCAGACCAACCGGGAAACAAACCATGGAATTATTAAAAGTACAAACCGACAGTGTGCATATTTAATTTAAAGACTTATTTAAAGATTTGCAAGCTCTCAACTAGACTTTCGAGGGCAGTCTGTTTTCTGTAATGTCTGATACTAGAAACTAATTTGCTTCATATTTTGGTTGTATTCAAGATTTGAACGTGTATTTTATAGACAAGTTCTGCTTTCGAACTTTGTGAAAATATTCCAATCAATTACCAGTTATTATAATGAGTATTTACATTATGAATGTATAATTCAAACATTATTTGTAAAGCCTGCAGTATGTTTTTATTACATAACACTTTTTTTATACAGTGTCTCTTGTCCTGATTATATGATATTGGAGTCTAAGTTGTCAGCTTGGTCCCTTCAAGTTTCTAGTTACAGACAAAAATTATACTGTGATTTTATTTTTAATATGGATATGCTATCAAACTGTGATACACTTATAATTCACTGGTCCTGCATCAGGAGATGGAGTGGGGAAAACTGTATTTAATACAGTTTGTGTTGTTCAGAGATGTCTAAAGTTTGATCTTTGTTTTTTTAAAGATTAAAAAAGCACTAGCCCCACTGTAAATATACAGCATGTAAAATTTATATAGTATATAAATGGCAGCAAAGTAAACATTTTGTGTCTTGTTCTTCTGTTTTCCCCACTTGCTTACAGCCACGTCTCACTGATGCCTTTCTTAAGGCCTGCAGAGCTCCTGTGCCGCCCCCTGCAGGACTCTGTTTGGACTGTCACCCTGACTAGAGGCATGCCAGGGATGCAGGAAAGAGCGGATCAGACAATCTACAGCTTAACGATAGCTTTCATCTTTATTTCATGAACACAGTATTTGCAATAGTTTTCACAGCCATACACCCTCCAATTTCACTGTTGACTTAGCAACAAAATATCAATAGATATTTTGATATCAATAGATACTTTGAGATCAGTAGAATATTTCTTCATGCAAGTTGGAGTATATATATATATATACATTGAATAACAAACACTCCAGAAATCAATACATATGTACAGTATCTACATATTAACTATATTGTAAATAGAAATGTTTTCTAAGAAAAAACATAAGAAAATGAGAAATCACAACTGTGGCTTCTGGTCTATAACAGACCTAACTTAGCAGAGACGTGTGTGGACATATGCGCTTGTAACTACAGGCATTGCTGTACACGACATGAAGGCGGTGGCCTCCCCTGTGGTCATCTGTTTGATTCCATGGAACCACATTAAATGGCCCCAACAGTTCTGGTCCCTGATGCTGCTGCTTGTCACAGCCCAGGGTCCAGCAAGGCTGGCTGGTGGGACTACGTCCAGGGCTGCTGCCATTTGTCTTTGGCCAGGTATGGGTGGGCTGATAAGCACTGAGTGACACGGGTGGAGAGAAGGGTAAGTCCTGCCAGCCCTGCCTCTACACGAGGTGAAACGGCTGGCCTCTCTTAGGTTAACAGTGTCACAACGAAACCTGAATTGGGGGACTAAATATAACATCCTGGAGGTCAAGTTCCTTAAATTATGAGCACCAGGCCTTCTGCACTGCTCCTGCTGAACGGTGTTAGGCAAGCCTTGCTCACAGATGACTGTGGCATTAGATTTGCCATCCTGTGACCCAAGCTCCCTGTTCTAACACCTGACACACGAGCTCCACCCCCAGGGCCATACCCAGGTTAGATGGCACAGGGTGGCATTGGTCCAGGCAGGGCGGGGCGGCGCTCGTGCATGGAGGACTGGAGGCCAAGTTGCACAAGCAGCTGCCAGGCAGCGTGAGGAATCCATCTTGCCCTGCTCAAACACTGGTTTCAGATTTGAGGTATCAGTAAAGCTTAGGTGATTGAGAATAAGCTCAATGTAGATGGAGCCTCAGACTTGGGCCTGTGCGGTCTAGCATGATGAAGCTACACCATGTCAGGCAGGTCTTGTTCTACCTAAGTGCACTGGGTCTGGGGACTTGCTTCCTGGACTTGCATTTTGCACAACACAAATGACCTCCAGGGGGAGCAAGTTCCAGGCGTGCTTGCACATGGGTAGGCAGCCACTGCCAACCCCCCAAGCCTGGGGGATGGGGGTGAGGTAAGGGTGGGGTTCTATGTATTATGCATAGGGCATAAAAGACTCCCAACCTTGCCTTGTACCAATCACACAATGGCCCTGGCCTTCACCCACAGGTCCACCTGGCAGAGGCATCCGCAGCGTGTGTCTGCAACTATTTGCATATGCGGAAGCCTGGACAAGCTGCGGGCTGTGGTGCTTCACAAATCCACCCTGGCACAGATGTGGCGCCCAATGCCATCCCTCCAGATGCAGCCTGCTCTTCCCCACCTCGTAAGGGAGATGACACCTGGCAACATGGCTCTGCCCAAGGGTGGGCTTTTTTCCAGTTCCCTGAATATGTGCTCGTTACATTACTTCCAACTGCGACGTGGGAGCAAACATCTTGCTGAAGGTTTGAAATAGTGACAAAAGTCAAAATCCAATTTCACCCACAAGTGCAGTTGAGCCGCATGAAACGAAGGTGGAGGCCGATGGAGGTCAGCCATTTCATGCGGTTCAACGTGGATGGCCTATGTCCAGGGCATCGGCTCCATTTCCCGGATTCAGCAGTTACAGGGTAACAAGCCGTCCTATTTGGCTTTGGAGAAGCCCATGAGGGGAGGTGGCAAGGGCAAGTGCACAGGTCCTCTGGGTACCCAGTGCCTTCTTCCCTTCCTGCTATAGCCAGGTAGGGCAGCAGCTCCCCAGGTGCCCAGGGGAGGGAGGAACCCCTCCCCTCGCTCCCGCCAGGAACTGCACGTGTGGGTTTTCCTGTGCACAGTATATACTTGTGTCCAGGAGTTAGATTTATAGCTGCCATTCTAAAAATACTACTGTTAGAAAGTATTTCATTATAATTTCAGATTATAAAAAGGCATATAAAAGCTATAATCCTATATATCTGAGAAAAAAAATCTGAATAAAAAAGTGGTAGCTTTTCCTTTCCCATTAGATATAAAACGGCGGCTTCTGGAATGGCTAGCACTGCCTAGTGGGCAGATGTGGCATGACTGGTGCAAACAGGTTCTGGCTGTGAGCGAGGCAGGTGTGTGTCCGTGCAGCTTCCCGTGGCCGGTCGCCGCTGCAGGCACCGCTGCTGACCAGGCAGAGGGTGGTACTCTCAGCAGCAGTGGGCAGCAAGACCGTGGCAGGAAGGTAGGGCTGGCAGCTGACCACACCCCAAACCATAGCATGAAGCCTTAGGGGTCCCCAGTCCCCTCCACAGCTGGCTGTTCTGGGAGCCATGGGGGCTGTGCGGGATCTTCAGCTCCTGGCCCAGTCCACCTGTGAGGTGGCTGGGGTGTCAGGGAGGCCTTCAGCCTGCTGTGGGTTCGGGTCCTGACGTTTACCTGCTGTGCCTGGAAGACTATTTCTTATTGGCGATCCTCCTTTTCCTTGTTGCCAGCATGTCATAGAAGGGGTCCCTGCTGATGCTGGCTCTGTGGAAGCAGAGGACAGAAGGTGAGGGGAGGAGGGGAATCTTACCAGAACCTGCCCACCCCTGTGGGGCCTTACTCACTTGATGGACTTCATCCACTCCTCCTTCTCCTCCGGGCTCGGCGCAGAGATCCGGTACACCACGTGGTTCCCCTCTACCACCCTGCCGTCTGCCTCTGTCTTGCAGGCCTTGATCACCTGCCCTTTGTGGCTGGGGTTGTATAGCTCAAAGCAGTTCTGAGTGGGGGGGGGGGGAGGAGGAGAGGCGATCACTGCCTGCCCAGCAAGGCCTTGCTGGCCACATGGATGGAAAGGACTTCACCAAGGGATGCCACTTACAGGTTTCCGTGGGTCTTCCACCTCCCGGATGCTGAGATTCTCCAGTGGGATGATGCCCCTGGGCTCCTTGTCCTATGAGAAAAAGAGGGAGAAGTGTGCAGGGTCCCGGGGTCCCTCGTCACGAGGGGCCCTTGCGAGCCACACTTACTGTGGTGTACTCGAAGTAGTAGAGGCAGTTGTCGGTCAGGATGAACCAGCGCCGCTTCCAGGTCTTCACACGGCCGCCTACAAGCAGAAGAGCCCCATGAGGCAGGAGCTGGGTATGGCCAGAGCCCGAGGGGGCCCAGGACCCCACAAATCACCCACTACACCTTCTGCAAGGCCACAGGAGCCCAGCTTAGAACTGGGGTTCCTCGTGAAACTGCTCATGACTCAGACAGCAGCTAGCAAAGGTCTGGCCAAGCTGCGTGGTGGGTGTGCTGTGGGGCCCACATGCACCCCCACCCGGCCCCCCCAGAGTCCGCTCCGGGCCACCCAGATCACGTGCTCCTCTCTGCTTCCTGGAAGGTTAGTCGGAATGGATGGGCGTAATTTCCCCGTGAAATGACAACATGATGGAGTCAGTGCCAGCTCACCCAGGGCTTGATCTGGTTATGTTGGGGCTGTTAGCGCATTACTGGGACGCTGCACAGCCCTGGGATCCATCAGAGTCAATTACCCCCGGCTCAGGGAATTGTTAGATTCAATTAGTCTTCTAAGGAGATCAGCAGCACACCCTGTACGTACACACACACACACACACACACACGAGTTCCTACTCTCTCCACACACACACACACACACACACACACACGAGTTCCTACTCTCCACACACACACACACACACACACACACACACACACACACACACACACAAACACACATACACACACACACACACACACACACGAGTTCCTACTCTCTCCACTATGGAAATAAAATCTCCCACCCTCACTGACTTCAATGGCTGCCTCACACTTCTACCAGGACAACCAAAACATAAACAAAAAGAGAAGATGCTCCGGTAAGACCCAGATGCTGCCTGGGGCTGGGTGGGTGCAGGCTCATAGCTGGCCCTGAAGGTGCTCAGGCCGGGCATCCTCCACCCATCACGCAGGAGACCTGGCCATTGCAGCTGGGTCACAGAGGCACACAGGCGCTGCGAGTGGGGATGGGCTCTGGAGGGCAGGGCTGAGGCAGGAGCTTCTCAGACCCCAGATGAGGAGACAAAGACAGAACCCCACTGGGAACCCCTTCTCCCTCACCATCTGATGGCCTAAGTGCGGGGGGAGGCACCTGAGTGCCAGCGGTCCCGTGCCTGCCTCTTCCCGCACAGCGCCCCGCCCAAGCCCCAGAATGTCTGACTGGCTACGTCCCCCGAGAGCCCCGATGCACTTCCACAGCCACCTCAGCGCCTCCCTGCATCCTTACCACCCAAATCACGCACTCCCGCCACAGGGCCTTTGCTGGGCCTCAGGGTGGAACAACATCTCTTTCCCGCTGGCTCTCCTGGCCATGGCCAAGCTCTGCTTGCACCTGTTGGAGTGCTGGGCCAGGCCCGCCAGGGGCCTCATTCTACAGGGCAATAGGGCAGAGAGAAGCTCTTTACCCCAACATCCCAAGATCAGGGGACATATCAGGTCTTCTGGGCACCCTTCCCAGGCCCCAGACGGTGACAGAATCAGCTGACAGCAGGTGCACCGCGCTGCCTCTGGGCCCTAGCCTTCTTCAGAGACCCCAGAACACACCATCCCCTGCCAGCTGCACTGGAACCCTCTGCGGCCCAGTGTCCATTGCTCAAATGCCCGAAGTGCCAGCTGCTCCCCTCAGCCAAGGCTGCTGGGGCCTCCATGTGTCCTGTGAGACCCCCACACAGCTCCTGGGGGGCCAATCAGGACCCCTATGAGCTCTGCCAGGCCTCTACATGGAGGCATAGCTGCCAAGGATGAGGACAGATGGGAGAAGGACTTAGGCTCTGCACCTGGATTCCCATCCCTCTGCTCCCAGTGCCAGCCTCCAGGGCCAGAGGAGTCCCTGGACTGGGGCTGTGGGCACCAGACTGAGGGGGTCATCTGGACCCCCACCGCTGGTCATCTTCCCACCCCTGTGGACAGCAGCCAGGTTCCTTGCACACTGTGTGTCCGCGATCCATCCCCACTGCTGCTCTGGGGTATGGGAGGCCCACATGTGCCCACACATGCCTTTTCTTCCAAGAATGCTTCACATCTACCATCTCCTATGATTCAGTCATAAGGCCTGGAGCTGCTGTGTACATGTTCCAGCCATGTGCCTGGCCCTAGGGCACCACATGCACTACCCTACATTATGGAAGGAGTTCAAGCAAGCAAGGTGGCTCCCACCCTGGCGCGTGCTTGGAGCCAAGTCCACCCATTCTGCACACCTGCTGGCATGTGTTCTGGCTGCGCCTGCCCACTGTGCTGGGAGGGGCCCTGTATGCTAGCAAGAGTAGGGCCCCCTGGCGGTGGCCTGTGACTTCGGATGTGCTTTTGGCCTCTGGGAACCCAAGCCACTGTGTGGTCAGCACCAGCTTGTTGAGCGGGTATAGGGAAGACTGCAGACCATGGTCTCCAGATGCTCACTGAGCTGAGACTCAGGAACCAGGCCAACTACGCACTTATCCTGCGTTCTGATTGTCTGCCCCACCAGAAAACAGGTTAGAAAAATGCAACCTGTCTGTGCCTTCATTTCATGCACTCTTGATTTCAGGATCTTCCTCCCTACTAGCCCAAAGGCCACATAAATTGCCACACAGCCCGGCAGTGCTATGGTCCCTTAAATAACAACACAGGAGCCAGGAGGAAGGTAGCTGGTTCCCTGCTTAGCCTGGCTGAGGGCAGTGCCTGGAATTTTAGCATTCGAGTCCAGGACTACGTATGAGGTTGATAGGTCAGGAACCAGCATACTCCTTGGCACAGCCAGAGGAAAGCCACACAGCAATGGCCGAGCCAGGAGTGGTGACACATACCTGCGATTCCAGCTACTTGGAAGGTAGAATAGGACCTGGAGTTTGAGGCCAGCTCAAGGAACAAGTGTGAGACCCTATCTCAAAAGTAAAATACAGAAGGACTGGAGGCACAGCTCAGGAGGCACAGCTCCTGCCTAGCAAGCAGGAGGCATAGTACCACCAGAGGGAAAAAACCTACAAAAGTAAAAAACTCAGTGGCGCAATTTGAAGAGCTTCAGTGCAATGGCAGACGTGGTGTGTCCTGCCCTGTCAGCTAAGGCCTGTCACATTGTCACCATGCCACATGCTCCCTAGATGAAAATAAGAAATTCAATCAGTGAAACTCCAGTCCTAGAGTTTTCATGCCTGTACTCCGCCACCTGGACAATGCGCAGCCCTCAGGGCTCTGGAGATTATGTTAATACAAGGCAACACCCTAAAAATTGTCCAAATTATCCCAACTGCAAACAAACCATTGTCACTGGTGAGGACCAGCCCCACGCACTCTAGTCTGGAGCATGGGGATAGTCTGCTGCCTCACACCTCAGCATGTGAAATGGGGTGGGGAGGGAAGTGTGCCCTAGGCCCTGCCCTGGGGGTGGGTGCCACGCACACCGCACCATGCACGACGCTGACCCCTACAAGCCCAAAGCCAAATGGATCAGATGAATGGCAGCCACAGACCGGAGCTTCACACACACCAAGGTGAGGGAGAGAAACGGAGAGGAGTGAACTGCTGGGGAGGGAGGAAGCCACTGGGTACCTACCTCCTAACGCAGGACAGGCAGGGACAGCCCGGCACAGAACAGAAAGGTGGGAGCCACAGGCAGAAGGAAAACAACAAGAAGGCACATTTAAACCATTCGTCAAAATCACAGCCACACCAAGAGAAAGGCACGAAGGTTCTTTGGAGATAAAGGTGCAGCACCGCCCTATTTACGTGGGCGCTAACTCGGCAGCTTCCAGGGCCTGGTGGCGCAATGTCTGCGTGTGCTGTGGCGTAGGGATGTGGCCACCGTGCGGGAACACGCGCACTGCAGAGAGCAGACTCTGGCTTAACTGTGTTTCCTTTTTAACATGTCTGCTTGTGACTAGGGGCCGTGGCTACAAGGAGCCAGGGAGGAGCTCCGTGGGATGTGCGCTGCGGGGCTGGGGCAGGCATGAGCACAGGTCCCCCACAACCAGGCTCACCCAGCTTCAGGAGCCAGCCTTCCCGGTCCGGGTTAAAGAACGTGTGCGTCAGGTCGTTCCCATCATCCTCCGGGATCTTAAATGGTTCATTCTTAATACTTTCATACAAGTTCTAGAAGGGAAAAGAGCAGCAAGTTCAGGGCTCTAATGGAGGAAGAGCAGCTATCCTGTCTTTGCGTCTCCCCTGGACAGAACAAGCAAGAACAAGATCAGCAGGGAGGCCAGGAAGCGCCAGCCCTGCCCACTCTCAGTGGGTTTGGCCCGCCTTAATCCAGTCCAGACTCACCCTCAGCAGCTCCTCGGGGAGGTCTCCGCCCTCATTGATGCCACGGTTCATGGTGATGAAGCGCTCGGCCGTGGGCTTGTCCCGCACGTTGTGGTTGTGCAGGCTGGTGTTGAGCATGATGATGGCGAAGGACAGCACGTAGCAGGTGTCTGTAAGGGCCAGAGGACATCTATTTTCAGTGGCGATCAGGGGCAACAGGAAACCCTCGCAGCATGCCATGCCGCCTTGCCCACTGCCCTGGTCCCATGGCCCACCTGTGGACTGGAAGACGCCGGGGTTGCAGAGGCAGTAGCGTGCTGCGAAGGCCTCCATCATGCGGTCTATCTTCTGCGCCTCTCCCGGCAGCCGGAAGCTCCACAGGAACTGCCTGCGGAGACAGCGTAGCCCTTCAGCAGCAGCCAGGGGTGGGGGCAGCCTACACCCTGCACTGTAGCCGAGGGAAGGAGGGGCTCAGGGTTGGCAAGCAGGCCTCATCCATTAAGATGGCCTTTCAGATGTCTCCTTGCTCTTACTCCACCCCCTGCCCCGGCCATAAGGGCAACCCCAGCCTATGCCAGGTCAGATGGGGACCAGGTCTGATGTTACCAGAGCCCTGCCAACATCACCATGGCTGCCACAGCCTAGAGATGGCAAGAGCCACGCCCCCCTCTGAGGACACTCACCCACACAGCAAGGCCTGCCGGCACCCCTGATCCCAACCGTAGCCAGGGTCTGCTGCTACCTCACAGGGCAGACGCACCCCTGCCCCAGGCCCCAGCATGCAGATGCTCCTGTCCTCAGATGTCCCTCTCAGCAGGTCCTCCTTGTCTGCCCTCCTCACCTTAAACCACAGCCCTGCGCCAGCCCCTGCCCTTCCTTTGCTGTCCTGTTCCTGCTGGTCCCTGTGGCCAGCCAGGCTTCACACCAGCAACCTGGGGATGGCCGGTGCTGCAGTGGCTTTGGCACAGAATAAGGGCAGAGGTGAGACCCGAGGTCAGCAGAGGTTCGCAAGGGAGGCCACTGCCCCTTTCTCATCCTCCTCTTCCCTGGACCCCTTCCCACCCCCCACCAGACAGCTTTGGAATCACCTGCTACTCTCCCCCCACTCTCAAGGCCAACTGACCCAGACACCGCTGTCCCTCACTGCACCCCTCTGTCTGCTGTTCACTACACGCTCTTCCCACCCACAGCAGGTGCAGGGGCCTGGGCCATCCGCAGTGTCCTCACTCTCCTGACAGGCACTCAATCCTTAGGCTGGGGTCCTGATGGCCCCATCGGGCAGCCCTGACCCACCCAGTCCCCTCCTACCAGCCTGTAGCCCCCTCCCCTTCTCCAGACTCATGCTGTTTCCACAGCAACCATCATCTTCTGACAACCCATAGACACTTTTTTTCCTCTCCCTTTGCCCACAGCAGGAGCTCTGTGGAACATGGAGCACTGCTGCCTGCGCTCCTCCTCCTCATGCTCAGGACAGGCCCCAGGGCAGAGGGACAACAGATGGGCTGGGCCAGGCACAGCCCATCCGCAGGAGCAAGGCCACGGTGGCCGCTCCCTGCCTCCCTCGTGTGCGGCTGGGCCAGATTTCAATCTGCAGGGTTTATTAGGAGCCTCTCAGCTCCTAATGCCTGGCTCCAGAACCTGGCCAAAAGAAGCAACACCACAGTGGTGATGGCAGCACCATCCATGCCCTGGTGGGGAACCCCCCCAGGCCTGTGCTTTTCTTTGGGTGTACAGCCCTCAGGAACAGAACGTAGTAATATGGACCAGAGCTTCTAAGTTACTTTGCAACCCTGTGTGGCTGAGCATCACATCTACCACAGCCTGGAAGGTTGCTGATGGCTTCAGCTGAAGCAAGGCTGTGAGAAAACAGGCCATGCACGCCAGCCTGGAGACAAGGAAGAGGCCTGACAATGACCAGACCAGACCTGGCTACTACCTGCACTGCCAGAGCAGGCCAGGAGCCGCCAGAGGCCTGTCCCTGCCGCCTTTTCCCATGCTGGAAGGTGGCTCAGGGTCAACAGCCAGCGCCAGTGACAACATCAGGATGCCAGGATGCCAAGAGGACAAGAAGACAAGAATGCATCCTCTCAAGACTGCAGGACCAGTGGCTCGAGCCCCAGGGAGGGCAGCGTGAGAGTCTGAGAGTCAATGACAAGGAAGGTGACAAGGAGGGTGATGAGGAGGGCAGCCTGGACCAGCAGGAGTCCCTGCCTTGCACTGTGGGCACTTGATGGTAAGTGGGCAAGACAGGGCTCACAGCAGATGGGGGTGAATGGCTGAGTGGTAACCCAAGTGAAGGACAGCGAGGAAATAACAGGCAGGGTGCAGGGCGATGGTGCAGGGCCATCTTTCCCTGCCTAGGGCTGGGAGTACAGGGATGCGGTTCCCACTGGGGTTGGAGCAAGGCCTCATGGCGTCTGTCCACTCTACATGCAGTGTGCGTCAAGCACTCACCTTAAGGCCTGTACAAGGTTGAGATCAGCAAACTCGTGGAGCTCGACAAAAGCCTGAAGAACTTTGATATTAAATTCATCCCTAGGAGAGAGCAGAAGTTAGTTTGGGGACGAATGCTCTTCTCTGTTGCTGTGAGGGTTGTGCATCCACAGCAGGCCTTTGCAGTTTTTATTCTACAGTCAGTTCCTTCACTGTACCTTTTTCAGGTTTTTTGAGAGTACATCTCAGGCTTGCCTAGGTCCTCTTGCCTCAGCCTCCTATGTGCTGGTATTATAGATGTGCACCACCATACCCAATGTTTTCATGCCTAGTACCAAGAGGAAGTGACAGGATGCTGGGAACCTGTTTCCCATCAATAGGAGTCAGGAAAAGGATTGTCATAAACCACCAAATGACAACCACTGTTGTGAAGTTGTGAGGCCCATCTCTAAGTGACCTGAGGCCCAGGCATTGGTCCCATCTCATAGACAGGTTTTCTTTTTTTTTTTTGATGAACAATAGCCTTTATTTTTTTTTATTGTGATTAAGTGATTACATAATTTCCCGAATTTCACAGTATTGTGGAATAATGATGCTCATTTAAAGTCACAAGTTCATTCTAACTTTCCTGGAGCAAATTGTCTATCACAGTCTATAACATATAACGGTGTACACATGTTATACACCATACATGTGATCAGCAGCATGGGGATATTTAGTAGTGGTACGACCAGATGAGTGGGAGTTCTTTGTTTCTTAAGTCCTGTTAGTTTTGTCATATCACCTAACATTTTGGACTTAGCATCCACTTATCAGGGAGACCATGTACCGTTTGTCTCTTTGCTCTTGGCTTTCCTCGCTCAACATGATTCCTTCTAACTCCATCCATCTCCCTGCAAATGCCATTATTTGACAGGTTTTCTTTTATTGGAGATACCGAAGATTGAACCCTGTTTTATTTTGTACCACACTGTGCTGATCAGCATTGTTTTAGTCTACTTTATAACCAGGAAATGTGAGTTCTTCAGCTTTGTTCTCTTTAAGACTGTGGCTAGCTGAGTACCAAAGGCTCATGCCTTTAATCCTAACAACCTAGGAGCTTGAGGTTCAAAGCCAGCCTAGGCAGAAAAGCCACAGGACTCTATCTCAAAGTAACAAACAAAAATACTCTTATCTGGGCTGGGAAGGTGGCTCAGTGGTAGAGCACTTGCCTTGCATGCTCGAGGCCCTGGGTTCGATTCCTCAGCACCACATAAGAAAAAAGCCGGAAGTGGCGCTGTGGCTCAAGTGGTAGAGTGCTAGCCTTGAGCTGAAGAGCTGAGGGACAGCGCCCAGGCCCAGAGTTCAGGCCCCACGACCGGACCCAAAAAATAAAAATACTCTTATCTCAAAGTAACAAACAAAAATACCAGACAGGGCTGGGAAGGTGGCTCAGTGGTAGAGTGCTTGCCTTGCATGTATGAGGCCCTGGGTTCAGAACCACATAAGCAGAAAAAGCTGGAAGTGGTGCTGTGGCTCAAGTGATAGAGCCTTGAGATGAAGAGCTGAAGGACAGCGCCTAGGCCTAGAGTTCAGACTGCCCCATGACCAAAAAAAAAGACAGGCCGGCCACCTGTGGCTCACACCTGCAATCCTAGCTGCTTAGGAGGATGCTTGTTTGAAGCTAGCATGGGCAGGAGAGTCCATGTGACTCTTATCTCTAACCAATAAAAGGCTAGAAATTGGAACTATAGCTCAAGTTTAGAGTATAGGCAGAAAAGCTCAGGGACAGCCCCCAGGCTTTGAGTTCAAGCCCCAGGACCAGTATCAAAAAAGAAAGACTGGCCGGGCGCTGGTGGCTCACGCCTGTAATCCTAGCTACTCAGGAGGCTGAGATCTGAGGATCACGGTTCAAAGCCAGCCCGGGCAGGAGAGA